GGGGGGGGGGGATTGGGGTGTGTGTGGGGGGTTGAGTTACTGAGTGGCTGCTTGTTTTGGTGTCAGCATCTGTGTGTATCTTCCTAGGGATTAGGCAGGGTTTTTTCTTCACAGGTGCTGGCAAAACGTTAGGAAACAAAACTTCAAGAACACGGCCACACAGCCCGGAAGACCCACACCAGCCATCGTATGCCGGCCGTGAAAACCTTCGACAATACGTGTAAATTTTTGCTTGTGATATGCTAATCACATATAATATTGTAACCTAAAAGATCACTATTCTTTCAAATTTCTTTCACTCTTCATATCACTCTTAGCCTTAATGATAGTTTTAAAAGTAAAGTACAACAAATAAACTTGAATGGGTAAGAGAATTCTTTTATACTGGCACCCAATGAAAGAAGTAAATTGCTCTTTTGGATTTTATGCTGATCTTTAATTTCCAGCTTCATCTACAAATCTATTAGACCAACCTTCCCCAAGCATGTGCTTTCTACATGTGTTGGCCTTTCAACTTCTCTAATCTGCATCAGCATATGGCAGGCACCAGGAAGGTATATTAAGTTAATTTGATATAACATGTCTGCACTAAAGCTAGGACATACTTTGAAGAATATATAAAGCTTCAAGAGGATCCTACTGGATTAAGCTGAAGTCCTGTAGGAAACTAATCTTCAGAAACTTAAAAAATGGAAATGTGAATAAGAGTCCTTTCTTTTCACAGTTTACCAGCAACTGAAATAGAGACAGGGTGCCTCAATACTTGTAAGTTTCACAATGCCAATATAACTAGTCATTCATAAATTATCCTATATATAAATCAGACCTTATCAAATTTATAAACATCCAAAGACTCAAATTAATGGTTTTTAAAACCCTACAGAACAGCAGAAACTAGATTGCCCCACAACACTCTCAACAAGCTAGACCTAGTATGTATAACTTCAAAGAAGAAAAGCCCCACTCCTTCACAAAGCTCCAGTTTCTCTGTAAAAACCTATTCTTCATGGTACTGTAGTCTCTTTCTTTGTGTATACAATAGCATAGAATGATCACTCAATGCCTCTTACTTCTTTAATTCATTCTGTTGAGCATCTGGGGCTGAATTTATTATATCACATACATCTTTGTCTAAGGGAGGAGGAATCTTTGCAATAAGCAGGAAGTCTAATAGTGTAGGCATAATCATGCTTTATTTTTAATATCTAAAACTGTAGTTCAAAATTGCAATACATCCTACATTATGAAATACTTCCTTATACTTCAGTCCTCTCAGATAAGACAGTCCTTGTGAAGCACACACTTAACAAAATAGTAAAAAGAAGTGCATTTTCTTTGCATCTGCTCTATACACCAAGTAA